TTAGACCCACAGTTCTTTTGATCATCTGCTTACAATCACATTCTGGGTCGATGTATGCATGTCCGTCTGTCCATGTATTTTTGTAAGCAAAATACAGGTCGTATTTATTGTCCGGAGATAATAGGTCAAAATTTAGATAATGCTTCCATATATATCTTCGCCCAATTTGTCTTTTATTTTCACCAAATTTGTAATATTAATCTAAATACGATGGTATTTGGCATATATAACCATAAGATACAAATACTACATTTTCTTTTGAGTGAAAGGATAGGGCTGAAACTCCGAAATTTGATATTGAGGTCGATCTGTTGGTTTGTAGGGTTTACATATGGAGATATTGAAATAGATTATGATAAAAATTTAATATGGATCCATCTTGCAATGGTTTTACTAATATTCTCCTCGGTTAACTTAAAAATGAAAGATTTTGAAGACTTTTTGACATAAAAGGTAATTATTTTCCAATTAATCTTTCCAAAAAATTGTACTCTTTGAGTCCTTAAAAGGACTAACACGAACTGCTAAAACGAATCTCAAATTTTAAGGTGGACTTTTTGTTGAAGAAGGGTACTTGTAAATTTAGAAGTATTATTTTTACAATTTAATTATTTATTTTTTTGGTAGGGCATATAATAGTCCGACAAGCATGCCAAAATCCTGTTTATAATTGGTTTATCATCATTTTTCTAGTTGTACCCTCAACAATATATACCTTCTCTAGCATATAACATTTAAGACGGCGAAAACGTACCTAGTCCAAATAATGGTTTTAGGCCCTAGGTATCTTTGGACCAAATCCGTTTGGAGTGGATTTAGCGATGTCTGTTTGTCTGGATGGTGGGCACGATAACTCTCATAACTCTCAAAGGGTACACCATAATATTTTTGTCAAACTTAGATCGAGTTCGGAGATGGGCAATATCAGTCCACTCCTTCTAGTACCTCCCCCACAAAATGTCGAAATTTTCAAAGAAAATATTTTGCTGCCCAGAAAGGGAAAGGATGATCGGATTTCGCTCCATCTTTGCGAATCCCAATATTTGCAAAAGTGCTATGGCAGGTGGGAAAATGAACAAATTACACACACCACAATACTTATATCAAACCAAGGTCTGGTGTGAAGATGGAATATGTCGGTCTCCTTCTTCTGGTACCTCCCTCTCAAAGGGTCAACATTTTTAATAAACAAAGCGATTATAAAATCCGAAATAAGTATCCGGTTCTCTTTAAATTGTGCACATCCCATTATTTCCACTATCACAAGATCTGCCGTAAAGATAGAATATATCGGTCCACTCCTTCTAGTAGAATTTGAAATAGCCATGATGCTCGTAAAACGTGAAATAAGCTCCTTGAATTTCACACATCTCAATACTTCTACAAAAAAATATCTGCTGTGAAGATGGAATATATCGGTCTCCCACAAAGGGAAAACATTTTCAATATCCTTTTAGCTCATAAAAAACGCGAAATTAATATCCGAGTCCAATCAGAATTGGTGCATCTCAATATTTCCATTTTGTCTGGTACCTCTCCCACAAAGAGTTGAAGATTTTGAAAAACAAAACTCTCAAAGAAAGCAAAATAATTATCCCACTCCCTTCAAATTTCACACCTACAAACATTTTTGCTAATACAAGAAGTTGATATATATCTGCGAACTCTCTCTGGTACCTCACGCACAAAACGTCACAATTTTATCTTAACCAGAAAACACGGGTGAATATCGGATTTATGGTTTCGCATAAAATTGGTTATAGATGTTCGATTTTCTTGTAATTTTGTCATACCAATATTTGTATCTGTATTAGATGAAGCATAACAAGTAAAAAACATTAAATTCGGCCGGACCAAACTTTTAATACCCTCCACCTTAGGGTAAAGGAAACATTAGAACCCATTGTGTCCCATAAATACCAATTTTTAGACATATTCGTGGGAAAGTGTCGCAAAATCATAAAAATATTGCATATCGGGAGGTACCAATATATGGGGCTATACAAAAACGTGAACATATACATACAATACTTCGGCAAGGGATCTAGAATCCATTAGGACACAAAAATACCAATTTTTAGACAAATCAGCGAAGAAATGTGGCAAGAATCATCAAAATATTGATTATCTGAAGGTACCATGGAGCTATACATACAATGTTTCGCCACCACAGCCAGAACCCATTATGTCCAACAAATACCAATTTTAAGACGTACGACAAAATACCGCATATCGGGAGGTACCATTATATGGGGGTTATACCAAATCGTGGACCTATAAATGCAATCTTTTGCCACCAGAGCTAGAACCCATTATGACCAACAAATACCAATTTTTAGACAAATCCGTGAAATATATGGTATATACCAAAACGTGGGCGGATATACAATAACAACCATCCTAGACACAATACAAATTATTCTGCTAAATTTTGACGCTCTATGTCAAATAATGTAGGCTGTATCGTGATTTCAACAGACAGACGGACAGCGTTAAATCGACTTAGAATTTCATGCTGATTATGAATATATATACTTTATGGGGTCTACAACGAATATTTAGGGGTGTTACAAACGGAATGACAAAGTGAAATATTTCGGTACATCACGCACATTTTAACATTTTCTAAAAATTATCAGAAATCTCTTATAAAGTGAAGGAAGTAGTAGATGTTGTCCAAACCTTACACCTCGCAATATTTATATCATATTTGCTTAGGACCGATACGAAATGGACAATTTAGGCCCATTCCTTCGAATCCTACTCCATAGAATCTCAACCACTTGAATATCATAACACAAGTCAAAATATATTTAAATAATCGAACATTGGCTGAGGGTATACATCTTTCTGCAAAATCGACTGATACGTCTCTAAGCTAAGCTTTTCATTTGATTATTGTTATCACAATAACATTTGTACAAATATAGAAACTAGAGCAGATTTGAGCTGTTGTTTTTGCTCTTTTTATAGAATTAATCAACTGACATTGACATTAAACTCGACTTGAACAGTTGGGATTAACTTATTAATTTGCAGTAAAAGATACGAAGTATAATTTACATAAGTACGGAAAAAAAAGATAAAAAATTAATAAATGTAAAAAAAAAAATCATAAGCATACGAATTATTTCAGAACTACTAGAATGTAAAAGTTTTCACAACGATTAGCGATTTTTCCTTGGTATTGAAAAAAATGGCAAAACTAGTAGATGCTTGTAGCTCCCGTAGCAAAGCAATATTTATACCCTACAACACTTTGTGTTGGGGGTATTACAAGTTTGATTGGACCAAAAATTATGTAACACCTCGAAATTCGAAATTTAGAATAGAGGTGGGGTTAAGGTCAGAATAGAACCCTATTTCGTTTGGAGATGATCACATAATATTTAGGGGTCGAAATTGACCAAAAACTGAAAAAAATCCTGATTTTGCAGTTATTCTACAGGTCGCAATTATGGACCAATCGACGCGGAAATTAGCATGGGGCTAGAGCTTAGGGCTTTGATGGTCATCGGGTAATATTTAGTGGGTGAAATAGACTATAACATTTGTGTTAAATTAAAAGTCAATTTTTCCATTAAACCGCGAATATTTTTAGTCCCGGCGAAATCACAAATAGACGAACAGGTCAATTCTGACCGTTACCGTTAGATGCCGATAGTAAATATATCGGATATATATAGCGAAATATATACAATGTGTATAAACAAAGGAAGGGGATGTTAACGAAAATGCTTATATCTCAAGAATGGCTGTACCGATTTTTACAAATTTTGTCAATTCAGAATGCCCTCTTGACATAAAAGTATCAAATCTAAAAAAGCGCAAAAAATATGCCAATAATGATGTTAATATAGATTTTGTAGTATTTTGTGTCATTTTTTTACTTTTTTCATATTTTTTATCGCATGCGATTTTTTCAATTTGACTTATAATATTGGAGTGTATATTTTGTAATATTTTTTCACCTTACAGCACAGGTTGGGGTTATTAAATACAGATTGCAATTATCGTCCAATCCTCGCGAAAATTGTCATAAGTGTAGCGTTAGGCTCAAAAGGGCTAGTCCTATTGGTTTTAAAGATGTCCGCAATATATTTGGGGGTTGAAATGGACCAACAACTAAAAATGTTCCTGATTTTGCAGCCGTTATAAAGGAAGGAATAGAAACCAAAGGACACGAAATCTCGCATGAAGTTAGAGTTAAGGACGGCGGGTGGAATGGAGCACATTACTTACGGGCGATATGCGAAGTACACAAAATGCAAACTTCTGACTTTTTATGCTGATTTCGTTGACGAATATAGCCAAATATCGTAGACAAGCAAATCTTATAGATGAGTGTAAATTTGGAATACAGAGAGGACTCTTACTTTTGGAGATGATCGCAAAATATTTATAGGTTCAAATGAACCAAAAATAGAAAAAATTTCCTGGTCAAACAATTGAAGCCACTAAACTCGCCTGAGAAGAGAGTTAAGGACAGGGAAGAATTCTAGCATTTTGGATGACCATTGAATTATATTTAGCTTTAAAATGGACCACAACAACTAACAAGTGCGTAAATATTGGGCAAATTTTCCTGGTCAAAATGCTAAGGGTAATATGTAGGCAGTGTTCCGTGACATCATTTCAAAAGCGAAATCTTCCAAGGGGACATAAGGGGGCTTCTAATATATTGTAATGTTGTAGGGTATCACATGGTCGGCCCCTCACGACTAAGGCTATAGTCTTACTTACTTACTTATTTTTTATAAATAATTTCAAGAAATGTATAACCTAATTTTTTTTTTGACTCCAAAACACTGTGCAATCTTCGCCATGTTACGTCTATTTATTCCTAAATACTAATTTGAAAAGTAAACACAACACAAATATGTTTATTCTAAAATGTTTTTTTTGGAATATCTTACTCAAAAGCATCTCCCCGAACATCTCACTCTTGCAAAGCTAATCATTTCACCATTTAATTTCTTCCTCTTTCTGTCTATTTTCAGAACCAAAAAATAAACAATAGCCCGGTACGAACATAAGCGTGCAAGTACCTACTAATTAACATTAATTGCTGCGTGGTCAGTCGGTGAGTCGTCAGTGAGGTAAACCACGCCACACCACTGTTATCATCATCATGGAGACTGAATCATTAAATCGGAAAAATTCATCGCGGAAAAGTTCCGTTGTAAATGGAAATGGTGAAGCTGCACCAAAGGTGGAAGCCGATGGGGGCGGTGAAGTGACACTGAAGGCCAAAATGAGCCTTATCAACGGGTGTACCGTTATTGTTGGATCCATTATCGGTTCGGGTATTTTTGTATCGCCCACAGGTGTCCTCATGTATACCGGCAGTGTAAATTTGGCTCTCATTGTTTGGGTGGTATCCGGCATTTTTTCAATGGTAAGTAGGAAAAAAACTTATTAAAACTCGAATTATTTTTAATGGTTTATTTTTTTTAAGTAAAACTCAAATTTAAGGAAAAAAAAACAATAGGGACAAGATTTTTAATATTTTTATTTCATTTGTTTCACTTCGAAATACTCGTCGCAAACCACATAAAGTGCATATGTTCGGAGATCAGCATGAAATTGAATTGAAATCAATATAGAGGTTAAATTGTTCATGTCAAGTGAAATGTGTAATATTCGTCCAAATAGGATGTGTTTCAACATTCAGTCTAGAAATAAGTTCTTCAAATTTGGAGAAAATTCGGTTCAGATATAGTTATAGCTCCCATACATATGTTTCCTACGATTTGGGGTTTTATGCCCCTCATATGCACTGCACAAGAACGACATTTTGTACCAAATAACTTATGAAACTCAAAAATACCTCTGTCAAATTTTATCGAGATCGGGTAAAATTTGGATATAGCTCTCATGTATATCATTATCAGATATCAGGTTTATTGTGCACCAAATGGCTATTATCAGTTCAAATGGACTGAATTTTGGAAATTCCAACCAAATTCGTCCTAGAAACAAGTACTTCAAATTTGGAGAAAATCGGTTCAAATATATCATATCTCGGTTCAGATATATCAAATATTTCTCAAAAATACCTCTGTCAAAATGTATAGACATCGGTTCAGTTTTTATATACCTTCGATATGCATCTTCATCCGATTTCACGGTTATTATTCACCATATATGGGCTTATATTACCAAGTTGGAGAGATTTTTTCAAAATTCAACCGAATTTGTGCATTTGGTGAAACTTGGTCCGGTATATCTGTTATGGGAGCTCTTCTAAATACACATGTGGTATAGGGTACCTATACTTTACCTATACGTTTACGGTTTTTTTTTTCAAAAAGTGGAACTTCCCAGTATTCTAATTTTTCTTAATGTTTTTTTTTTTTTTTTTTTCATTTGGTTGTTTTTCCAAACAAGTCTTTCTCTATAACAGCATCTAAAAAATTCGATCCAAACGTATTTCTTTTCTATTAATATCTGAATTTGCAAATATGGATTTCCAAAAAAAAAAACTTTATATAACATCCTCTTGATTGTGGTACACAAAATTCCACCTCCATTACGTGTGGCATTAAGTCACCAATATTTAAATCAATTCCATTAAAATGTTAATTTTTAAACAATGCATCTCAGATTTTAATAATTATAATAATAATAATAATAATAAAATTCCCACCTGTGCTAGCCAACTAGTATTTAGATGATTTATAAGGCGAGCAACAAAAAACAAGCAGTAATTTGTTTACTCCGTACATGTAAACAATTGCTAAACAGCGAAAACACACACCCCAAACGACCAACCACCTGAGACATATTCACCGAACAAGAATAAAGCTAATTGTTAGGCAACTGAAAATATTACTTATAATTGCGATGTACACGCGCTGTGCATTTGGCAACAACATCTGTTCCACCGGTGGACACCGCCATGCCCACCCCAAACTTAACAATAAATACCACCCAATCCATATGGGGATAATATTCTAATGAATGAAGACTATCGTTCAGGTTGTCTCAATCTAAATAGCTCAGCGTCTGGCAATTATCGATTGACTATTGTCACCTGTTGCTGTTCCTGCTGCTGCCACTATTATTTGCATTCTTATTACCATGATTACACGTTGTACAAGTTTCATCTTCTTCTTGCCATACTTGTTTCACCGGCTCACTTATAAATAATGCAATATTTGTTTGTAGTTGAGAAAAAAAAGAAATTAAAATGTTATCGATGCTTCATGCGTTAATAGAACTAGTTTAAATCGGTTTGATGGACTTACGTAGAAGTCGCAATGTGGTCGAGGAAAGTTTAGAGAAATCTGCATTCGAAATTATAGTTCTAAAAAAATGAGACTCTGAGAAATGAAAAAAATTTAAATAATAAAACAGTCAGTTCGACCGTGCCGAACTTTGAATACCACCCACAACATAAAAAATAAATTTGTAAAATTTAAAAAAATTCCGTTGAAAAATACTGCTAAGAACATAAAAATGTCGAAAATATGGAATTACCATTTTATTGCCATAGATAGATCTAGACAATATTCAAATACGATTTCTTAAACATCAAAATACCGAATATTGGAAGGTACTATTATATGGGGGCTACACGCGGACTTCCATTTTTGTGTTGACAATTTTCTGTCCTATGAAGCAGATCTCACTGGGAACACCAAAATGGAAAAAATTCTGCTGATAAATGTTCAGGTCCAAAACACAGTTCAGGTTCAGGAAAGTTCAGGTCCAAAACACATGTGTGCCAAATTTCAACTTTCTATCTTAGTTCCTTCGGAAGATAGCATGATTACAACAGGAGGAAGGACATGGCTAAATCGAATTAGAATTTACGGTGAGATTAACAAAACTGCAACAAAGTCTAAAGGCAGAATTTTTACATTTTTTATACCCTACACCACAAGGTGGTCAGGGTATTATGTCTTTGTGCATTTGTTTGTAACAGGCAAAAGGAAACGAGATAGATCCATAGTTCCTTTTGATGATCTGCATAGAATCACTTTCTGAGTTGATTTATGCATGTCAGTCCGTCTGTCCGTCCGTCCGTCCGCCTGTCCATGTATTCTTGTGAACAAAATGCAGGTCGCATTTATTATCCGATTGAGATGAAATTTAGCAAACAACATTTGTTTGGCCCAAGGACGAACCCTATTGAAATTGGAGATAATCGGTAAAAATTTAGATATAGCTCCCATATATATATTCGTCCGATTTGCCTTTTATTGTGCACCAAACGTGTAATATCAGCCCGAATAGTATGGAATTTTGCACATACAACCAAATTATGCCTGAAAATAAGTATGCCAAATTTTATCGAAATCGGTTCAGATATAGCTATAGCTCCCATATGTATTGTTCATCCGATTTGTTATTTTTGTCCTTCGCAGCCGTAATATGCACTCTATAACAACAGTATTTGGGGAAATATATCAAATGCAGCTCAGAAATACCTTTGCTAAATTTTATCGAGATCGGTTCAGATTTGGATATAGCTCCCATATATAACTACGTCCGATTTACCATTTATTGTGCACCAAACGTCTAATATTTGTCCAAATGGGATGGAATTTGGCACATACGAATTTAGTCTAGAAGGTAGTATGCCAAATTTGGTGAAGATCGGTTCAGATATAGTTATAGCTCCCATATATATTGTTCATCCGATTTATTGTATTTGTTACCCACAGCCGTAATATGCACTCCGTAACAACGATATTCAGGGAAATATATCAAATACAGCCCAGAAATATCTTTGCACAATTTTATCGAGATCGGTTCAGATTTGGATATAGTTCCCATATATATTTTTATCCGATTTCAAATTAATTTCGCACCAAATGGGCAATAAAAGTCCGAATTTAAAAGATACAAATGCTTCGGCATATTTAGTCCTTTGAATTTTAAATTATAATTATAATCACGCTATGAGTATTATTGAATTCTCCCATAAAAACTTTTTATTATTAAGTGGAACTCAACTAAATTAGCAAAGTGGTGTAGGGTATCATAAAGTCGGCCCCGGCCGACTTTAGGACTTTCTTTACTGTTTTTTTTTTAATTTTATTGAATGAAAGCAAACATGGCAAAAAGAGCATCAACTTTTGGAATAAGTTTTGAATTGTTCGAATTGGTCATCTTTGGCACGAGTTATGGCCTTAAAATGGCCAATGAAACCGTCACACGCTGCCAGAATCTTGTTCTGCGGTATTTTGGCACATTCCCGGCGAAGCGCTTGCTTGAGGTGATCGACACTTTGGTATTTTTTTGCGCCAACCTTGCTTTCCAAAATACTACAGACACAATAGTCCAACGGATTGGTATCCGGAGATTTTGATGACCATTGTGCGCTGGAAATGAAGCGAGGAACCTCATTCTGTAACCATTATTGGGTGGCGCGTGCTGAGTGCGATGGTGCTGAGTCCTGTTGGAATGTCCAAGGTCTGCGGCCAAAATGTTTGCGTGGCCAAGGCTTTAATACACCCTCCAGAATATTTTCGCAATAATATTCGGCATCTATTCTGATGCCACGGTCGATCAATACAAGCGGAGAGCAACCATCGGCTGTTATGGCGCCCCACACCCCCATCCCAATGACGGGCGCTTGAGTTCTGGTGGCCAATCGAAGGTGCACATTTTCAGCTGACCTCATTGGCAAGTTACCATGATCATCTTGTTTGTTTACAAACTGCTGGACAACGAATGTTTTCTCATCGGAGAAAACCAAATTCGGCAGTTCACCACTTTCGGCCAAGCGAAGCAACTTTTTAGCTCTTTTGAGTCTATTTTCTTTCTGTTGCGGTGTAAGTTCTTGCACTTTTTCGAATTTCACTGGCTTTAGCTCAAGCTCAATTTTCAATGTTTGCCGAATGAAATATTGCGATATGTTCAGCTCACGAGCCATTTTTCGATTACTGCCACGCGGGTTTCGATCAAGTCGCTTCTTTACTTTTCAAACAATTTCTGCTGATGTTGCTGTTTTCTTCCACTTCCTTGACGTCGGTAACAAGCGATGGTACGAGACATAAAAGATTTATTCACATTTAAATGCTGGAGTGCTCTAACGATAGCCACTTGTGGTTTTTCAGCCAAATATAAAGAAATCACACTATCACGCTTGTATTCCATCACGAATAACTTTTTTATCGAAAATTCTCATCAAAAATTTTTTGGGTCTCTCTTGGTATCTGGATCTGAGATATGGAGGTTGTTTTGGAAATGTGTACAATAATTTTTCGAATAATACTAAGTGTTACCGAATTGGGTGAAGGGATAGAGTTGAAAACGTAAAATTTTATGTTACGATAACTGTTGGTTTTTAGGATTGAGATAAGGAACGGTTTTGCAAATGATTACTAAAATTAAACGACAATTACTAAGTGTTACTAAATTTGATATTGAGTGAATGTATAGAGC